AAAAAAAAAAAAAAAAAAAAATTGAACATTCTAATAGAGAGAAGTTATAATGTGTTTTTTGTTGCTCGTGGTTTTACTGTGATTATATTAAATGTGAAATATTCATTGAATTTCTGATTTTGAAAAACTTCTACAGAAAATCCAAGTAGAAGGGGTAAAAGCAGAGCTGTAAATTCACTTTCATAAAAGTGATGATGGAAGCATAGTGACACTCTTTCCCAGCTGACGATTATGGCAGAAAATGCTAGAAGATAGTAGAAGGTTTGTAAGAATGTAATAATTTGGATTCTGAATTGAAAAAGAGAAATAGTCTGTAAGGCTCCTGCCAGAAGATGAGCCCAGAGTTATATAACTTTCAGTGATTGTATTATATCATTAATGACATGATATAGTAAAGTATCTGAGAAAAACAGATTGTTAATATGAAGAAAATTGAATTGAGAAGCCAGTAGGATGCATGTACAACATCTTTAAGGCTGGTAGCCTACACTTGAAAGAAATGAGTAGAGTGGAATTTAGTATAAAATATCTTAGGAGACTAGTCATCACCAAGGGGTCTAAGGAGCAAAATACAGTGGTGGCATGCAGTTGTGGAAAGAAGGTATCACAAAATTAAAAAACAAACAAACAAAACTCCCTTTAGGCTGGCCATATGTGAGAAGTGCTCAGTATTAGCCTCTTCCTATGCTAGTCAATGCTTCATCTTATTGCCACAGTCCCCTTCCTAAAATACTTGTGGCTTTCTTATTCAGATCTAGAGTTGGGTATCCACTGCATACAAGCAGAGTTATAGTTCTGTAGTTCATAATAATCCTCAACAACTTGTATTGCCTCATGGAGATTGTATATCAGCATCTAGAATTCTTTCTGGCACATAGTAGTTACTTGGTAAATGTTTTTAAATGTGAATGGTTGCCCGAGCTTTAAAAAGTAAGTATAGGAGAGATTCATATATATGCTTCAAAGATTTGCAGGTTCAAGTAGAGTAATATAATGACAGATAGCTGGAAAATAAGAAGATCAGACTGATCTATACCTGCAAGGAAGGAAATTCTCTGAACATGTATTTAAAAGATAGAGGGGTGCCAAGACAGTTCAGTGGGGGAAAGAAGAATCTTTTCAAAAAATGGTGCTTAGACAACTGGATATCCACATACAAAAAAATGGAGTTGAACCTCTACCTCACATCGTATACAAAAATTAACTCAAAATGGATTATATAAGCATAAGTGTAAGAACTAAAAGTATAAAATTCTAGGAGTAAAATTTTATAACCTTGGATTAGGCAATGGGTTTATAGATGTAACACCAAAGTAACAAGCACCAAAGAAAAAAAATAAATAAATTTGACTTCACCCAAACTAAAAAATTTTGTGCCTCAAAGGATACCATCAAAAAAGGGAAGAGAACTAACAGAATGGGAGAAAATATACACAAATCATACATCTTAGAAGGGACTTGTATCTAGAGTATATAAAGAACTCTTACAACTCAAGAATAAAAAGACAGATAACCCAATTTTAAAATGGGCAAGGGATCTGAATAAACATTTCTGCAAAGATGATATACAAATGGCCAATTAGCACATGAAAAGATGGTCAACATCATTAGCTGGCAAAGAAATGTAAATCAGAACCACAGTGCAGTACATTTCACATACACTAAGATGGCTGTAGTCAAAAAGACAGTTAATAACAAGTATTGGCAAGGATGTGGAAAAATTATAACACTCATGCACTGTATGTGGTAATGTGAAATGGTACAGCCACTTTGGAAAACAATCTGGCAGTTCCTCAAATGGTGAAATACGTAGTTACTATATGACCCAGCAGTTGCGCAGGATCCTAGGTATATCCAAGAGGAGTGAAAAACATATGACCACACAAGAACTTGTACATGAATGTTCATAGCAGCATTATTCATAATAGCCCCAAAATGGATACAACCCAAATGTCCATGAACTTATGAATGGATAAAGATAATATGATATATCCATACAGTGAAATATTATTTGGCCGTAGGAATGTTCTACTGACATGTCCTAAAATGTGGATGAACCTTGAAAACAATATGCTAAGGGAAAGAAGCCAGACACAAAAGCCACAGATTGTATCTTATCACAGTCATCATCGTCTCCATTCTGTATGGACATTTGTGAGTGCGATTAGAGTTGAAATTGGGGGAAAACAGGGTAGTACAGCTGGGAAAAACATGTACGTTACTTGGAGAGACCTACCTTCAAATTCCCCCTTGGAATTTTTACAAAATTGAGGACATTTGTGAGTGCGATTAGAGTGGAAATTGGGGGAAAACAGGGTAGTACAGCTGGGAAGAACATGTACGTTACTTGGAGAGACCTACCTTCAAATTCCCCCTTGGAATTTTTACAAAATTGATGAAATGCAGGCCACACTGTGTAACCTTTACAAATTCTTTCGTCACGTATATGAGTACCTACTTGATGTAGAAGAGGTAAGAATTAAGAGAAATGTTATATGAGGTGTGGGCATTCAATAAGTGGTAGCTATTATAATGAAAAAGACTGTTACAACAATTCCAATGAAAAGTTTGGCAGAGCTTGCCTTCCTAAATACATACTGAGATCACGTGGTATGAAGCAAGTTTTTCCTTTCATTGTATAATGGCCATGGTTCTTGGTTTTTTTGTTTGTTTTCCCCAACCTCATCATTAACTCTCTAAATAATTTATATGTAAAAATTTCTTAAGCAGATGCCTTGAGTTTTATTTTCCATGCTTTCTTAGTAATTTATGGCCCAATTTTCAAATGTTATAGGAAAAACTTCATATTGACCCAAAGATTAAAAAAGCATATGAAAAGAAAAACTGAAATATCCAAGTTAATGTTCTGTCATTTGGAAAACCACTCTTCTTTTTCCAGATTAAGTGATGTAACCCAAAAACCTTGTATAGTAGTCAAAATAAGTATTTCTGTTGTTATAGGAGAGGTACACACTTCACCTCATGCTGTTGTTTTTGGGACTGTTAATGGGTCGGTGCCTGTTGAAATTATATATATTCTATTTCCGTTGGCCATAGAGAGACAAGAAATATATTGAAAAATGCTCTCAAATTTTGGTTTGGTTGGTCATTCTCCAATGGGGACTGTTTGAAGAGTTGTCCAGAAAGCAGAAGCTCCTGTGGCAAAATAATGGGGCCCATTAGGTAGAAGCCATG